CACACACACACACACACACACACACACACACATACACACACTTATTCCTACACTCTGCATCTTTCTCGCGTTCTTCCTTGGTGTTTCCACATTCTGGGTTACAAGACAATTGCATCTAACTAGATATATCTTTGCACACTATAGCCTCCATAAAACCGGCATGGAACAAATATAAAATGCATACAAATAGAGTCATTTCCCTTTTAATGTAGGAAGCACGTTTAGATTTTCCTTTTATTTTGTAGATACTTTTCATTTCAGAATTGCTTTCAGTGCTTTATTGCCATTATCTATAAACCAGGATTAGTTATCATTATTATTATCGTGTGTGTGTGTTTATGTATGTAGATAGACAATTTTGATATCATAAGAAATGATTCGGATGTTTTTTGTATTAAAACAAAATCTTTCAGATAATTGAAAACGTTTCTTCATCAAACAATTTAAATTAATCTTACCCGGTACTATTTTCTAATCAAACTCCTATCTTTGGTAATCCTCTTCTCTTTTGCAAGAATTCTACGACACATTTACCTTCCTTTTTCGGTTGACAGGCCGAGCCTTGCGCATGCTCAGACTGGCAAAGCTCCTGAGTTTGCTGAGATTGTTGCGACTGTCCAGACTGGTGAGATACGTACAGCAATGGGAAGAGGTATGTATGGATGAATTGCGCAAAAACTTGTTATTTTGAAATGAAAGAAATTGGGTCTTTTCGTGAAGTTCCATGTTTTTAGATGAACTTCAAAAGTTCAGAACGCATAATCAAAATTGATGTCTCAAACGAGAGCTGCTGAAAATTAAGACTTCATCGCGCTCTTTTGGAAGGCAGGTCCAGATGATGTTTCGTGCCTTCGAAGTTCGATGCCCACGAATAAAAAACTGCACTTTTTAGAAACTATTCCCATGGCCATTGGTTCTCTTTCAACACTGTAAGGTAATTTTAGACGCTGGGCCTGGGCCTCTATATAGTCAACATCCATCTCCGATATGACTGAGCCATATCTGCGAGGAGAGCCTTATTATCTCTTCGGATCAACCCAAGTTCATAACACCCAGTTGGCATTTTGAACGAGATCCGTTATGATACAGACTAAGCTAACAGAGCGCCGAAAAAAATCTGTAAATCTTCAGAAACTTCATTGTTTAGAATATTAATGTTGCTGTTTATAGAAAAACCATTTCCTAGAACATGATGTATTAAAAACACAAAATCAGGTTTAAAAAAAACCAAGATGTAACGACTGGATAATTATTATAATAAGCGGGTTTTCTTTCTTTTTTTTTTTTTTTTTTTTTTGGGGGGGGGGGGGAATACCACCGTTTACACGAAGATGAGTTAACAGATCATGTATGATTAATTAAATGATAGAATAGTCAATTTTTATCATTTTCAACTCAATATTTAATCCAGGCAGTCCATCTAGAAGTTTCTAAACGGGAGGCACGGTGTGGTATCTGTTAGAATCCGATGGATAAAAAAGAGGTAGCACCAAAGCTATTGCAATATAATACTACATGTTTCATCGTTGAGAAGAGGGTACAAACAAAAATGCCAATCTTCTGAGAGTGGGGTGTTAATAAAGGGGGGAGGGTGTTAATGACTTACTCAAACCTGGAGAGCTTATGTCAACTGATGAATAACATTTACTATAAAGTAAAATTCCTTTTCAAAGCCTTATGGATATCTGTATAGCGATCGGTTTTCTTATATTATGTTGCGATCTGGTGACCTCGGAATGGCAAAGAAAAAGAACACCTTTCTTTCCTCGCTCCCTCCTTGTCTTTCTTCGCCATGCCAGGGACATCACCGAGGCCAGTAGAGTGTGGATTCCCTTTTGTTTCCTTTGAAAGTATGTTTTCGATCTTCATCACAGCATGCATCCAAAAATGTGGATGTTTTTAACTAAAAAGGAAACCAAATCGAACACATTAAAGCATTTAGAAATATGCTTACAGCCAAATGCAACATATGCAAACCAGCATAATCTGTTACTAAACAACGCTAATATATTATTGAGCGGGCTTCATTAAATATCTTTTTTTAAAGTGTTTTATGCACTTGTTTAGGGGATAACCAGTTTGTACTTCCTCTTTTAGATTTATCTGATATTATTTCTATCGTCAGCTTTTTCGAAGAGTCCCTTGACCATCTAGATCTCTAATAGAAATACCATATTGATATGTTCGGGGCTTCTTCCCACCCCCAGTTTTTCAACTAGCAGTCATCTTATAAGCTTTTTGTGAAACTTCATTAATTAAGTAGATTTACAAACTTGCTGTAGTGTATTTATTAATATAATGTTTCGAAAGGTTTACAGTTGTATTTTTACCATTCTTACTTTCTCTTGCTCCTTGTTTAACTTGGACCTCTGGAGACCTGAGCTGAAGAAAGTGAACAATACTGTGTAATGTATAGTACGTGTATAATAATTATGCATGTTTGTAGACTGTGGATGATGTGAAGAAAGATGAGCTGGGAAATAGACAGGCAAATGTTGCCATGGGAACCTTGACTAGCACAATAAGAGTGATGCTGCACTAACTGCTGAAACATTCCGATGGGGGGCACCGTAATGAGGCAGCGATAAAGCCACCGTTAGAACTAGTAGCATTGTAAGCCAATGTGGTGTGCTGTTTCCCTCAGTTCCTAGCGTTTGCCGGCAAGTTCATGCGGATCTTCAACTTGATATGCCTCATGTTCCTCCTCGGACACTGGAACGGCTGCCTGCAGTTCCTCGTGCCAATGATTCAGGACTACCCAAAAGACTGTTGGGTGTCTATAGAAGAGCTCAAGGTGAGAGTCTCCCCCTAGCCCCTTCCTCCTTTTCCTCTTCTTCTCTTGGATGGATTGTGCATTACCTCCCCCAACCGTTCACGTCCACCGCCCTTGTTCTCCCTCTGAATTTTTTTGTGGTTCTCAATATGCCCCCACCCTTTGATTTGTGCGCTTGCTTGTACTCTCGCAGTTTCTAGCCATAGCAGGGAAGTTCATGCGCATCTTCAACCTGATCTGCCTCATGTTTCTTCTGGGTCACTGGAATGGCTGCCTGCAGTTCCTGGTGCCCCTTATTCAGGATTTCCCAAAAGATTGCTGGGTCTCCATAGAGGGGCTGCAGGTACGTACGAGCCCAACGACCACACTGATACTCTGCTTTTTTGGTTTGAGCAGTGAGAGTCCACAAGAAAGGAAATACACAGAAATGTCATTCATGAACACACATTATTCCTCAGTGACTTGATATTCATCCCTTAACTAAGGTCCTTCTCCGACTAACACTCGGTACCGTTAATTGTGAGACAGATTGTTTCTCAGGTTTGAACACTGAGACAGGCCAGATTGTGTCTGCAAATGTATGTCAGATTCTAAACTTATTGACACGTTGTACTAATTGCTCAACGTCTGTATTCGAAAAGGTGGTCAAGCTCCCATAATGGGCTTGGTGTCTTTATTATCCACTTTCTGTGAACTGCATAGTTAGCATATGCCTTGAATAGCTTGAAACAGTAAAGTTGAGGTAAACGCCTACGGATATCTGTCTTATAATTCACGGAGTAGCTAGAACTTTCTACCTGATGCCCTCCTTCGGTGAACATTCTACGTGTTTTCATGGTAAGCATTGTGTTGTGACGTATGTATGTTTCGCTGTGCTATGTTGTTCGTGGACATCTAACGACGCAGCGTGACTAATGTTTGGTGCATTTACAAAGAGAATGCCTATATAATTATTTATTATATCTCTTTTACGTGTAATCCTTCCAAATGATCATTTTTTAAATATATTGGTTGAGACACAAGCCCTTCTGTCCCGATAATTTTTACACTCCTGTAATTTTCATCTAATCGTTTCTTTTCTTAGTTCTATCTAATAAGTAACTAGAAATTAATAGTATAAGACATCATTATACCTTGACTTCAAGTTCAAGTGAATACTCATTGCTTTTTTCCAACAGTTATTTTCTTAGAAAACCATACAGACATGGCCTGCTGTAAGGAGATTAATATTCTTATTGGGTCAATGATGCCACGCCTCGTCTTGCCATACCCATTCTGCGTGTGTTTTGCTGTCTTCTTTCCTTGTACTTCCCTTGGACATGAACATGTGTGTGCTCTGGTTTTGTGGAGTGCTGGGTTTTGAATACATGTATTTTGAAAGCCACTTTCACCCCTAGCCTTAGTTATCCTTTCACCCTACAAAGCACTGTTTTCAAATGTTGTGTCTTGACGTGTTCCGAGTTTATATGTATGCAACAGTAAGCAGAATTTCTCTACCAATCTGCAATATAAGTTAATCTTTACTATTTCATCTATACTTGATATGGTTCTTACATTGTAAACATATGTCTTTCTTGTGGACATCAAGAACGGAATACATCTGAAAGTCCACATTCAGCAAATATTGCTATTAAATGTATAATTAATTATTTTTGTTATTCATGCAATGCTCATTGTCTTTTGTTGACTTTTGGCTACTACTATTAGATTTTAACTTTTTATCAAATCAGTATCAATTATTTTTCCGAAAATAATATAACATTACCATGATGTAAATTATGTTGTTTTTTGTCTGCGTAATCATAATTAAAAATGAAGAACTGACTATTTATATATTATAACTGTGATATATCAAGCCTCCCCTGAATCTCAGTTTCATTTTGATCTCCCCTACTCCACCCCACCAAGGCTTCATCCCTCTCCCTCTCTCTCACTTTTTCCAAGGCTACCATTCGGCCTCTCTCTCTCCTCTCCCTCTCTCTC